TAACAGAGAATCCTATAGAAAAACAAAGAGAAAGGAAAGGTTCTGTTGCAAGAATGTGCTAGGTGTGTGGTCACTAGCAGTGCCAAAGAGTGTGTGTGTATAAGAAAGAGAGAGAGAGAGAGAGAGAGAGAGAGAGAGAGAGAGAGAGAGAGAGAGAGAGAGAGAGAGAGAGAGAAAAGGAGGGACATAAGAGTCTCATGGTTAGCATTTATCCCTGGCTGAACAGCTCTTAACCTTTCCTGCCCCCCCACCTGACTCTCTATAATTAAATCCCTGCCTATTTTTTAACATGCTGCTTGTTTCTACTTATCTATAGTTCCATTTCTTTATACATTCATCTTTCAGTTCATTTAAGATATGATGTCAGAGATACCAGTGAGACAAGAAGATGCATTCAGTCAGTGCAGCTTTTTCCTTCATATATTTAAATCTCACTTTAAATAGCCATTCAAAATATATTTATCACTTTTAGATCATACAGGTACAATATACCTGCTTTTAAAAATTCGAAAATATACAAAAGTATACAAATGTATACAGAACACATTATAACATATGCATTAAACTATTTACTTCTTCTGTTGAGAAATTCTGTTCACGTTCTAGCTATTTTTTTCTTTTGTGTTTAATTTTATTAATTCAAAAGATATAAGAAAGGATAAGTGATATTTGACTTTTATGTTTATTGTAGCTTTTTCTCCAGTTTATTGTCTGTATTTCATAGTTTACTACTTTTGTAGAAATATTTTATTTTTAGCCAATTTTATTCTTTTGTAACATCTAATATTTATTATTTGGGGGAATATTGTAAATGCTTTCATTTTAAAATTTACCAGGCCTAGTCCCCAATGGCAGATGAATGGGTTAAGGAGAAGTGGCATATGTATATTTGTGTATACATTTACATACATACATATATATATATAAATATATAGATATAATCTTGCCACTTGCAACAATAAGATGGAGTGGATGGTGTTATGCTAAGCAAAATAAATCAGAAGGAAAAAGGAAAATACTGGATGGTTTACTTGTATGTGGAATATAGAGAAATAAAACAAAGGAACAGATAAACCAAACCAAAACAAACCCTAAAATTTGATTGCAGAATTGAGGCTACCAGAGGGGGAGGGTGGGTGTGGGGAACAAGCAGGCTAGGGGGCTTAATGGGCTATGGTGCAGAACTGTGAGTGCCTGGGTGGTGGGTGTAGTGTGGTAACATATGTCTGAGGAGGTGTGAACCTGTACCTCTGAATCATATATGGTGTTGTCTACCAATGTTATCTCGATAAAAAAATAAGAGAATTTAAAAATTTCAAAAATAAAATATACCAGAATTTCAACCATCAGTAGAAATAAGAAACAAGTGGGGATAATGAAGCAAGTATGAGCGCAAAAGCCTTAGATTGAAGACAGTTCACATTTGAACACAAGGATAATAGCATTTCAGTGAGGTTGTTCTCTGATTCACCAGAAGTTGGTCTCTATTATTTTCCCTTATATCTGCCTCCTGAAATATCTGCAGAAACAAATGATTTCTCTGCCATAACTGCAGGGGTAACCCAACACAATAGTACCTCTGTGAAGCATGACACAAAGCCCAGAGAAAAGTTTATCAATCATACTTCAGAGTGGAAGACAAAACACTGGTTATAAGGTAATGTCAAAATCTTAAATTCAGTCAGTTTAGAGCTGGCACCACCTACAACCTGCAGGTGCTTTTATGTGCTTCTGTGGGGAGGGAATGATCCAAGTCCTCAGTGCATAGAACTAAATCATTTCTGTGGCAGAATGCATTTTCTTACTCTGGATTTTCTAAAAGTACTATGAAGCCACGAAAGAAGTAGAACCATATTTCTAGAAACCCAGACAATAGGGAGAATAGGATCCTTCACTTATCACAAACTCTTACCTAGCATACGATAAAATCAAATACCCCAATAGGAACATACTTTGGAGAATACTTTATGTGACTCTCATCTTTGTCAGTGCACAGAGATGGACAGAGGAAATAGCAGAATGTCAGGGTATATGATAAGCGAGGCACCTCACTATCATAGCCAGGTTCAAAAAGATGTTTGAGTTTAAATATAAATATATAAATATAAAATCAAATCTAGGAAACACAAAGCATTTCATTAAACATGGTATCAAAACTGATTGCAAGACATAGGGCATAGACTAGTGGCAGTTAAATTCAGGTACTACTTACGATGTCCTTCCATTATCTATCAGGCTTCTGTCTTTTCAAGGCAAACTCAGAAGTGGTGACCTCAACAAAAATGTCTGATGGGAGTTTGAACAATATTTAGTCATTAATTTCAATTTCTAGCTCAATTCCAGGTTTTCTTTTATTTTCAACTCATAGGCAACCAACTGGCTTTCTAGATGCTCTTCGGCTAGTATAGGGAAACAAGGGTATCTCTGTGTGTGTGTGTGTGTGTGTGTGTGTGTGTATGTCTGTCTGTCTGTGTGTGTGTACCTCCAAGTTCTTGTCTCCTGATCCAGGAGTCTGAGTCTGCAAACTCAGGTAACACTATTTCTTATTTTATTTTTATTTTTTAAATTTTATTTTTATATTCCCCATGCAAATTGCAACCCCCTTATTTTGACCCTAATCCCTCCTTTCCCCGCCCCCCCCCATAGTGTGTCTCTGGTTCATAGTTGTAGTTGATTTTGATTTTTTTCTTTCTTATAGTTATTCTTTTTCCTGGTCCCTTATTTAGGTTTTCTAGATTCCTGCTATGAGTGAGACCATCTGGTATTTTTCTTTTTCTTTCTGGCTTATTTTGCTGAGCATGATCCCTTCCAGGGCCATCCATGTTGCTGCAAATTGCATGTATTTATCTATTTTGAATGCTGAGTAATATTCCATGGTGTATATGTACCACATCTTCTTGATCCAGTCATCTATTTTTGGGCATTTGGGTTGTTTCCAAAGCTTAGCTATTGTAAACAGTGCTGCTATAAACATAGGGGTGCAGGTGCTCTTTGGAATTAAAGTTTCTGTGTCCTTTGGGTAAATACCTAGGAGTGGAATTGCTGGATCATATGGAAGCTCTGTCTTTAGTAGGTTGAGGAATCTCTACACAGCTTTCCATAGTGGTTGGACCAGTTTGCACTCCCACCAGCAGTGCAGGAGACTGTATTTAGAGAACCAGAGTTTGAGCACCTCTGAGTAGCCCGCATTCCTAGGTAGGGTCCTCATGACAGTCCCCTCTAAAGTTCTTCTCTAAGTAAACTGGAGAGATTTCATCCTCTTCCTCCTTTGACCACTCCTCCTGTGGGCCAGGAGTGGTCTTATCATATCTGTACAGGCTCTTATCCAGGTATTGTTTTAAGCCTCCCCCCCCTAAATTTCTAACACTGCTTGGGAGGTCATTTATGCTGGTACTAGATGTCTGTTTTTGGAGAATGAAAATCAAATAGTCACTCACAAAGGTTTTTCTTTTTCATCATGTTAATCATGTCTTCCATACACCTGGAGGGTACTTTTCAGCACTGTTTCTAATGCTGACTAGGCAGTCATGCTCAAGTCCCATAAACCAAAAGATAGGATGTAAGAGCTATGTCTGGGTTGGGGCAAGGACAAGCTGAATCTGAATGGAAGTCCACTTAGCAGATGGTCAGTTAAATGTTTTATAGTAAGGTTTCTAGGTCAGCTGATTGCATGCCTAATGGTCTATTTGGTTGTCTGCTCAATCTGCTTATTCAAACTGACATTTTCTTTTCATCAACTTACACTCAAAATCTTTCTTCAATTGTATTTAAGCTTAGAAAATATTTTTACCAATCCAAGATATTTGTGATATTCTGAATATCATTATTATAATGAAATACTTCAAGCAAGGGTAATAAGCATCCTTAGATCATAATTCTGCTCATCTGTATACCATAATAAATTCTTCAACAATTTCCCTATTTTCATTTTGTATATTACTACATTAAAAGAGGAAGGAAAGGAAGAAGTAAAATTGTTTCTAAAGAGAAACAAGTGCGTGTGTATTTGTGCGCGCGTGTGTGTACAAGAGTAAGAGGAGCGCAGTTTCTGTTTATGCTTTTCATCTCTATATAGATATATAATAATAACAAGATAATTTAGAGAAAAACACACTGAGCTGAGACTCATAAGAAATGATTCTAGATTCTTTCTAGTCTGGCTTCATTTGCTAATTGGAGAGCTTGGGAAAAACCACATAGCTTATGTGTCACAGTTTCTGCATCTGAATTCTCATCTTCATCTGCCTTCTTTATTTGCATAATGTTATGCAGCTCAAATATTTTTACATACACCAAAGCAATTGTAGTATGATGTTTATTATGTGCCCAACAATTCTAAAAGTCCAGTTATTCTCATTGATATAAGAGGTCATTTTCCATAAACCATAATCCTGTCACAATCTTCTTAGAGTTTGTTTTGCAGAAGAAGGGGTACTTTGCACCTCTTTGAAAAAACCTGAGGCACATTATTGTCCTTTAATTTCATCCATCATCTCAAGACCCTATAGATTTAAGTTTACAAAAAGACAAATAGTGTGTAAAATTCTTACTAATGTGTAAACCTGCTCAACATGTATTTTTCTTTATCTCTGCTTTTATTTGTATCAAGGTTATCTAGTTAGAATGCCCTGAATTTATTGTCTGAAATCAGAATAAGTAGAAATTTATGAAATACATACACTCCGAAGCCAAAAAGGTGTTCATGGGAGAGATACGCTTGTGTCTCTGAGGTAATATTTTTGTCCTCTTTTCAGACCCAAAGGATACCACTGCTGTGTACATCATGCACAAAATGAGATCATGCACAAAATGAGATCTGCCCTACAGAATATGTGTATATTGATAACATAACAGCAATAAACATGAATGCACCATTTAAGCAAATTATTAACTCAATGCAAATTATATTGATTTCAACTTATGTTGTGTAATAATTGCAGATTATGCAAATGTGTTTATATTTTATATATATGAATATATATATGCATGTGAATACTTACTGTATTGACAATTTCTTCCCATGAATTCACCTGGGCACTCACAGGAATAGTTGGCAACAAGATCAGTACATATTCCACCATTTTTACATGGCTCAGCTTCGCATTCATTTATGTCTGAGAAAAACATAAAGAACAGAGGAGAATAATTATTGGTGAAAAAATGATTAGTTACTGGAAGGTTTTAAATATGTCAAATAAAATACAGTCTAAATAATGCTATTATTTTTTGTGTATTTGTCTCAAGTCGATAATATAAATACTGCTTAAAATAAACAACTTGTTAATGATCAACCTCAAAAGAAATTGGGAACCCAAATGAAATACCAACAGTACTAATCCACTCTACAATCCTGAAAATAAATATGAATAGTTTGGGAAATATTCAGAGTTTCCTTAGAATTAAATCAAACAAATTAATCCTGGTAGAGAGATGAACAGGTATCACTTACAAGACCTAGAATCCTCCCCTGCAGCAAAAACTGCCAATTAACACTGTCTCATTTCATCTTAATTCATTAAAATTCTAACTGACAGAGATGTTTTAGTTTCTAAATAGTTCGCCTTTGATGAATGCGATGAGAAGCAAATTAGAGTTAATAGCTAAAGCTCGTTACATGCAAAGTATAATAAATGTAAATGATGATCACTTCCTAATCTCATTCAAGGGTTTCTAAAGTTAGGATGACTAAAGGGACTTACCTTTGATATACCATTATTAAAGCTGATGCAAAATCATATGAAATACAAAACATTCAGCAAATTATATCATTTTTGTGCTAATTTTGGACAACAGAAACAATTCATATGATTTTGAAGAAAAAGAAGAAATAATGACTAGCTTAGTGAAATATCAATCACTGATATTCACACATCATCCCTCTAAGCTCGGCGCCGTGCTGGGTTCTATGGGAGTTTGCAAAATAGTTGCAGGACACAGCACTCCCCGTGGCTTTCTCTTCCTGTCATCTGCTTTAATTGAATTTCTTCTCTACTATTATTCCCACAACTCTTTTTTTTTTCATAACCTTTTTCACTGACAAAAATGGTGTGTATCTGAGAAACTGTTTCTGTCTTTCACCCTGTGCCCTAGTCAGACTGTGAGCTTCACCATGCAGCCCATGTCCCCCACTGCTCTTTGTGCCTCTGCAAATGCTGCATGTTATCTGGAAGACCATAACTACACAGTGATGTTTCCTGATAAAATCTGCTGAATAAAGTTAGTGGTGCAAACAATGCAAAACAGAAAAAATGACACCTTATTCAGATTTTAATGTGTCCTTGGGTACACTACAATGTATCCAAAGGTATTTCTGAAATCCTGGGTTTTCACAGTGCTTAAAGCAATAGGATCATTAAATTACCCCCTTCTAGATCTAGAACAAACAAGGACAAAATACCGGAAAACCTCTATTTTGTCTCTTATTTATTTTTCTTCTAAACAATCTCTCCTGGAAGTAGTGTTGGATATGTTCTTATTCTAAATTTCCTTTATGAAGTTTGGTCTAAACATCCTTATGTAAACGATGAATGACTTGCTCTGAAAAGGTCATCCTTTTGATTTCTTGCAGATTTTCACAGATTGAAAATAGACACAATTCATGATTGTGCTCAGGAAGAAGCTAAATAATTTGAGGATTTATCAGTGAAACAATAGGACAAAATCAGGATCTGGTAACCTCTAAAATGAGTTGTGTACTGTAAAATATAACAGACTCCCAAATATTTGAGACTAAAACTTTCCAGAAAGCAAGGCAATCATGCAGGAAGGAGGAGAAGGAGGAAAAGAAAGAGAATGTCATTTTAATTTTCTTAACTGATGAAATATTTAGTTCTTTACTGTCATGTAAGAATTTCATTTAGACTTTATATTAGACTACGATATAAAATATTTTCATTAAATTATGAAAGTGGCACTTTCATTGCCAGGTCAATGTAAGTCAATGGCAATGTTTGGCTACTTTGGCACATGACTAATCTTTGTCTTTTTGTGTGTCATATCTACTGCCATTTGTTTTAGAGGATAGTATGTTAATGATCTATAAGAAGTCAAACCTTGGGGGCCTCCCTGGTGGCACAGCGGTTGAGCACTGGGCTGCGAAGCTGCCCGCAGCCTCTGCAGCACCAATTGGATCCCCAGCCAGCCGGTGAGGGTCCCACGTGGAACGCAGACCTCTCCTGCCATGCCAGCTGCTCCCCTCGACAGTGTATTTCATCAGTCTGTCTGCTGTGCTCCCCACTCTGGCTCTGGTGAATTCTCTCACCCTCCCACGCTTCTGACCGTACCCCAGTTCTTTTATAAATAAATAAATCTTTAAAAAAAAAAAAACAAGTTAAACATGCCTTAGAGACTGCACTGCCTTATTTTGTAAAAGAGAATGAATATAACTTTTCATATATTAATAGGGAGAAAAGTATTGATGTTTGAACAAAATCAAATAAGGGAAATATAATGTTAGCCTTGAAGGAAAGGTTTAATTAGTATTAATAAAGACAGGATAAACATTGTGGTGTATTTCCAGAGGGAACAAGCATAAGTCACAACTTTGGAGCAAAATCTTCTTGGCATGATGGTTTGTTCAGATACCCGAATGACCTAGCTTGTCTGGAGCAGAAGTGAGAAGGGGAAATAGACTTGGGGCCCAAGTTTGTCCAAGGACGAACCCTTAATGCCAGTAGAGGGAACTGGTCTTTAACTTCTGGCACTGAAGACTTGGAGCCAGATAAGAAAGTGTCTGCTATATCCCTGTACTTTAGAAAGACACAGAGAAGCCTTATGTGGAATGACATTAAGAAATGTATCGAGGAAGGTTGGATAGAGACCCACACAAGTAATAATGCTAATAGAGACAACATATTTTTAAATTCTCAGGTAAGAGGCTCTAAGCAATTTCTATTTTTAAGATAGAAATAGACAGATACATATATATGTATATGTTTGTATATTTACATATACATGAAGATAATTAAGCATGCAGGAATTATTGTTCTTTGCTTCCTATTTTTTCTGTCTTTATACAATAAATAGTACTTAAACACGTGAATATGAATTTAACTCAGACAAATCAAGTTTTGAAACTATGAACCTACGAGTTGATTGCACATCAGTCCAGATGTACAATTATCAACAAAGGAAGTTATAATTAAGAAAAACTGATTGAAAACAACAACAAAACAATTAGATATTTGCCCAGAAGTTTACATGAGGTGGACTGAATGGAGAATTGCATTTGCTGAAGTGAAAATGCTTTATAGCCATGTCCAATTTTTGATAGATAATAATCTTTTACTACTTGTGCATTTTCCAATTTTTTACATAAATAATACCTTAAATATTACTTCATTGAAATATAAATTCTATATGAAGTGAGTTAGCTCTTTTAACACAGTAGCAAAATAAATAAAGCAATACTGCATATGTACCTATCTAGCAACATCTAAGCTTAGAGAACAGATGCAAATTACACAGAAGTGTTTATATATTAGTATAATGCAGGAGATCATTTAGTGGTATGGCTATTTGCACTGTGATTAACATTGCCAGCAATTTAAATGAAAACAGACCTCAATTTGTATAAATCATGTTTAATTAAAGACTAGATATAAATGCTCATGGAATATAATGTAATAAACTGAAAATTAAATATCATAAATCACATACATTTCTCTTTGTCACAGATCAAGACATTATCATTTCCAGAAAAAACATCTACATCTATTCAAATGTACTGGAAAATACAAGATTATATTTAGAATAAAAAAATCGCAGAGCAGTTCCCATATAAGAAATTAATTTCCATATTTGGTTATATTTCTATTTAATTTATAATAATAAAAGCTACCATCTTTTGAGGTCTTTGATTCTATGATCCTGTTTGAGAACTTCTTTTTAAAAAGCCTTATTGAAAAATGGATTTTATAGTCAAGAAACCAGATGAGCACTTGGTCTTCACTATCAACACATAAAACCTTGTTGACCACCAGGCAATCTTGCAGCGGCACAGTGACAACAACCAAACATAGATTTCAGATGTAAATTCATGATGCACTTTTTTTTTTTTTTTTCTGGTAAAGGAAGAAGAGGTCGAGATGAGAGAGTAAATAGTCAAAACAGCATGTATTTCTTTGACTCAAGAAAGTAATCCACCAGAATTTCCAGGTCCTATGCTCTGTTTTAAATAATTGCAGATTCATTCATGTTGTATGCATAATTTATGCATACTTATCTTTACCATTATGTAGCACATATCTCATTCTATACATGTCCGTAAAGAAATACTAGCAGTCCTATCTCTGGCTTGGGTTTTTGCTGACAGAAATAAATTCAACCTATGCATACTCTGGAGTTTCAATGATGCGTAGCTTGCCCTCTTGGTAATTGATGAACACATATTCACTAAAATCATTCTGAGTACTCATCACCTTACCTGACTGCATCTTTAGAAGAGCCCAGTTAATCCTGTCTTTTTTGTTTTTCTGTATCTTTATAAGATCAATCATTGTGCAAATTATAGCCCTACAGTACATCAAATTGACTTTGGAGTAGTTTGTAAAAGTTTTGAAAATCAAAATTATATTTTGCTAGTTCTTTGTGACTTCAAAATAATGACTTGTCTGGACATAATTTCTTGCCATAGAAGTCATGTTGCTTCTTTTTGGATAATTATATGTAAACATTATGAGTCATATCATTCATGATATACTCCAACAGAAATGAAATGGAGATTTCTACAATCTAATTCCTTAAGCCCTCTTCTGGAGAATTTAAAATTATTAACTAACTAACTAGCTAACTTTCAACTAACTCACTCACTAGTATTTACACTGACACATATTAGTAATCTGTAGAGTCAGGAAATAACAGATTTCTCTCTTGGGCTATAGTGTCCCAATACATCCTTGAGTTTCCCTAGATTTCCTCAGGTGGATGTTATCTGGCCCCAGGAATTCAATTATATTGGCTGTGCCAACTTGGCCTAGAATATTTTTTCCAACTTTATTGAGATAATTGCCACATAAAATTGTGTGTAAGTTTAAGGTTTATTTTTTGACTTGAACCATATATATAAATTTCAAAATGATCTCTATTAGCTGATCAAAAAGCTACCATTTATTTT